CTGTACTCTCGTTTTTCGTCATCATACCTGCGGTCGATAACGGTCAGTGTAACGAATTTCCTCGCCGTTATGGTACCTAGAAGAAAAAATGCTCGTTTCGCTAGTCAAAGCTGATGGAAGCTGCGTAAGTCGCTTTGTGCACGTCCTTTTGCAGGGTGGAACAATACCAAACAGCCGTTCTATGTTTACTAAAAATGCTGACGTACCAGAAAATTTTCGGTGGAGGATTTGCCGCGACTTTGACACTGAATCGCAACAGGTCGCCTTCTCCACATCGGACGTCTTCGAGAGGACGATTGAAGCTGGGAGCGAACTGACCATCAGGAACTTCTACAGTTAAGGAGCACGAGCTCTCGCATTGCCCGTAGGCGTTCTTTCCAACAACTCTCCATTTCCCTGAACAGAAATATGATAGCCTCATTACCTTAGCATTGTGAAGTGCAAACTTAACAGCAGCAAATCTTTCCGGAAGGCACGAGAATGACTTCGCGGAGTAATTAAAACAAAAGCACTTTATAGTTCGCCCCCTTACATGTGATTTTTGGACTGCGCCTTACCACTAGCGACACAGTCCAGAAATCGCGGGTAAGGGACTGAAGTAGGCATGCCAATGTGCCAAAACACTCAGTATGAAGGGGAAAAAGCTGGAAAAACCATGGCATGTGCTCAAAATAACACTCTCTACAAAGCAATTATCCCAGCTCGTTCCTCATTGATGACTTTGTCCCTGCCTACATTCTTTTATGATATTCGGTTCTTCTTGCTCGCCCCAAGCACGTACAGAGCGGTGGGCAGGGCCAGTGAAGGTGGGTGGGGCCAATTAGGGGAACGGCGGTGTGAAGGTCCCTCGTCGCCTGCCACTTACCAGGGAGGTCGTTCAGGACGTGGCGCGCTTTTTGAAAACGGTTTTTTGCATTATGTAGGGGCACGTTCATGGACTACCAAACTGACGTTCATTTTTCCTAAATGGCTCTTTGAATACCAAAAAAGGAGTGAAGAAAATGTGTATGGAAAGCGATTGGTTTTGAGCCCCTCTGGGCTCCAAATCACTTGCAACTTTGACCAGTTGCTGAGTAGAGGGTCCTTATAAAGGCACTATAGGAATCGAGGAGGAAAATAGTCGCAAATGGGGTCTTACTTGCGGCACGTGATTGAGAGTGAACGGCTCTGAGCGGCTTGTCGGAATGGTTTCTTCAACGATCGGAGCGGTGTTCAGCTACAACGATCGGATGGCCTAGTGGATAGCGTGGAGGATTATCAATCGGACAGTGAGGGTGGGTGTTGATGGTTCGACTCCCCTAGGCGTGCGAGTTTTTGCATTTTTTTAGTTTCGCTATCCTCGCTTCCATAAATGTCTGTGCATGAGTATAACATGGATATTTGCCATTCATGGGCAAATTCTTAACGGTAGTACCCCGTAAGTCGGTGTCATACTACTATTACAATTTTCTCTTTTTTATGTGTAAGTAAGTGATATGATCATTAACATCGTACTTAATTTTAGCTGTGGTGCCATTTGTCTCCGATTTGGATCCACATCATTCTCCCACTGTATTCATTATGTACACCCATAAAAGGGACGTTTAGCGCTACTCTGCCGTCAAATTGCGTCAGCGCCAGAAATAGTGTAAGAATCGTGATCAGGACCATCGATAACCCCTATAGACGAAGAATCGCTCGAAAAATTTTTTTCGACCTTATTGAGGTGTGTGTATTGGATTGTGTACACGATTCTTTCTATTGAAATCGTACTTTGCCTGCTATTCAAAGCTTCCCATTTATTATGATAACATAAATACTATAACAACATGGATAACACCGCTGAAAAAGAAAAATTCAGTCATCCTCCAGGTGCATTTGAAAGTGGAGATAGTTGAATGAACCGCTTCTATCGCTAGAGGAAGGTCGAAAAAAGGTCGAAAAAAGGAAGGTCGAAAAAAATTTTTTGAGCGATTCTTCGTCCATAGGGGTTATCGATGGTCCTGATCACGATTCTTACACTTTCTGGCGCTGACGCAATTTGACGGCAGAGTAGCGCTAAACGTCCCTTTTATGGGTGTACATAATGAATACAGTGGGAGAATGATGTGGATCCAAATCGGAGACAAATGGCACCACAGCTAAAATTAAGTACGATGTTAATGATCATATCACTTACTTACACATAAAAACCAATTTTCAGTAGCAGAGAGTCGCTAGCGTTAATTCGTAAGAGAAAAATTGTACTAGTTTATGACACAACATTACGGGGGTTACTACCGTTCAAGGAATTTGCCCATGAATGGCGAAATAGATCCATGTTATAGCTTTGTATGCACAGAAATTTATGGAGAAGCGAGGATAAGGCGAAACGTAAAAAAAATGCAAAAGACTCGCACGGGCTTTGGGGGAGAAGTCAGAAAATCCAATCACACCCACCCTAACTGTGCGGGATTAATATCCTCCGCGGCTATGCACTAGGCCATCCGATTCGTTGTAGCAGACCCACCGCTGCGGCGATTGTTGAAGAAACCAATTCCAACAACGCCGCTCAGGGCGTTCACGTCTCCACAGCACGTGCATGCAGAATAAGACGGCCGCAGTTTGTCGACTATTATTCTTCCTCGATTTTCTATAGTTGCCTTATATAAGAAGACCCCTACTGCAGCAACTCGTTGAAGCTGCAAGTGATTTGGAGCCCAGAGGGGCTCAAAACCAACCGCTTTCCATACACATTTTCTTCACTCCTTTTTTGGTATTCAGAGAGCCATTTAGGAAAAATGAACGTCAGTTTGGTAGTCCATGAACGTGCCCCTACATAATGCAAAAAACCGTTTTCAAAAAGCGCGCCACGTCCTGAACGACCTCCCTGGTTAGGACCTATTTACTTGTTCGAGAGACAGAGGAATTTTTCAGCTTATTGCTGAGCGTGCGTCCCCTCAAAGGCAGTGCGCACGATGGCTGGAGGTGGGCGGTCATCGCCAGCGCATTGGTGGAAGGGCTGAGGGAGACCGTTGGTCAAATTGCTCATTGTGGGGGTGTGGCCAAACGCTCTTCTGCAGTCCTTTCACCAATGACGCTGGCAACAGTCGCCCACCTCCAGCAATCGTGCCCACCGCCTTCCAGCGACTAAAAATGGAACAGTCGTGCAATTCAAGTGACTCTTATATTTCACTAATGAAGTCACTACAAATATAATCCGTTTTCCAACTAACCTTGATCATCCAGGCAAACACTGAGGATGGTGAGCTCGTACCGTCCCTTGTCATGCTTTAGCAGGTAGTCAGGATCGCTCTCATGGATTCGAAGTCCATTGTGATACCACTCAACGGACGGCTCCGGCAGGGTAGTATTCGTTACACAAAGAATCTTCTGTTCGCCTAGTTTCAACAGAGCAGTCGACCAGCTGATGATGGAATGCGGGAGGGGAGCCTTCGATCTCCTCTCCTTCAAGTGTGATCTGAAATTCTTGTGCTACAACGAATTTTCTCATGAGATACGAAATGTAAAGATGAAGCAGGCATTCCAAGACTGTGTCCATACTTTGCGGCAGCGTCCTCCAGTGACCAATAGCGTGCACCAGCGTTCGGCGCGTGCGGTAGCTCAGCGACAGTAAAGTATAGGTACCGACTTAGAGTCTGACAGCGTCTGCCAGCGTCTGCCAGCGTCCACCAGCGACCAGCATCGTCGGGGGTGGAGAATGGGGCGGTAGAAGGGTAGAGACAGCTGGTAGAGTATGGGAGATAGGAGGGTAGCAGACTGCTGGTATCCTCCTATCGCCCATACTCTCTACCAGCAGTCTGCTGCTAGTATTTGGTGGACGCTGGTAGACGGTGGCAGATGCTGGCAACGCCAGATCGATACCTACACTTCCCTGGCGCACGAAACACTGGTCTCTGGTGGACGCTCGGCAGGTCGCTGCGCAGATGCTTGGTAGCGCGGTCGATATCGTTGCTCTTCATAGTTCGCTGACGCTGCTGCTGACGCTCTGACGCTGGTGGACGCTATTGGTAGCTGGTGGACGCTGCCGCAAAGTATGAACGCAGCCTGAGCCTTCCAGACGAGAATAAAGTCACCTTGGTGCTCCTTCCCCTAGAAAGTTCAGCTGGTGAAGTGTCAGCCTTTCTCTTTCCAACTGTCAAATTCGCTCTGGTAGTGATGGAGCCGAGTTCGTTTTCGTCGCCTCGGCAACTGTATCGTCCAGCATCCGATTCCTCGATATTCCTTATGGTCAGTTCACTGAGGCCATCAGAGTAGCGCGTCTGATATTTCGACGATGATGTTATCAATTCCTTATCATCCTTGAACCATGTTATCTGTGGGCTTCTGGATTTCTTTCGAGAGGTTGCACGACAAGTGCTACGAGATGCTCCAGTCATTGCCATAATGTCTCCAGTTTGCTTCTTCACCGATGGAGGCATTCTGTTCTGCGAATATTTCAGTAAGGGAATTTTTTTTTTCGGGCATGTTCTGGGGAAAGGGAAAGCATCGCCAAAATAGGAATTCCTTTTGCTGGTTCCAGCTGACTTACACGTCTCACCTTGGTGAGACCTATAGGACTTTTGTCATGCGTAGACAAAGCCCAAACTATTAGGTTGTCCGGAAAGTTCTCAGCGTTTTGTGAACCTATTTTTTGTACATTCACTGCTGTATAAAAACTCATCTGATGGTATAATTGCCGTTTCACCATTGCTTGATAAACCCCTTTTTAAGACTTTTTGAAGCCAGAGCCACTGGGTCCGTACACGATTTTTTTTTCTTCGACTATAAATTGGGGCAATCCGCAATCGAAACAGCTCAACAAATTAACCAGGTGGGGGCCAATAGTGCTAGAGAAAGCACTGTGCGGCAATGGCTCAACAAATTTCGTTCTGGAGATTTCAGCCTTGAGAAACCTCATAGCGGTCGACCCAAAGCAATTTATCTACGAGGATTTAGTGGGAATTTGGAGGCCTGACCCATCCCAAACAAGTTCACGAGCAGAGTAGGCAGAAGAGCTAGGCCTTGGCAAATCCACTGTTGCAGATGGTCTGGAACGCATTGGGAAGGTGAAAAAACTCGACAATTGGGTGCCCCACAATCGGAGTGACCGGCACGTCTCGAGGTTCCTTCTGCATTGCTTTTGCGCAGCAGAAACGACCTGTTTTTGGCCGAATTGTCACCTGTGATGAAAAATGGGTCATGTATGATAACAGGAGACGTTCCGGACAGTGGTTGGATTTCGACGAACCACCGAGGTAATTTTCAAAGCCGAACCCTCACGAAAAAAAGATTCTGGTCACGGCTTGGTGGTCATCGGCTGGTGTGATCCACTATAACTTTTTATCACCAGGCCAAACCATCACAGCAGAACCCTACTGTGAAGAAATCGACGAATTGTACCGAAAATTTTGTCAGATGCAGCCAACAGAAAGGGTCCGATTCCTTTGCATGACAACGCCCGCCCACACGTTTCACAAATCACTATCCATAAATTGAACGAATTGGGGGTTGAAGTTCTACCTCAACCGCCATATTCTTCAGACCTTTCGCCAACGACTATCACCTTTTCTAACATTTTCAGAACTCCCTTGCTGGAAAATACTTCATCAATCAGGACCAGGCAAAAAAGCCTTCGTGGATTTCGTGAATTTTCGACCACCCAGTTTTTTACTTTGATGGGATTTCTCGACTGCTGTCACATTGGCAAAAGTGTGCTGATTCGAATGGTGCCTATTTCGATTAAATCCGATGAGTATTAAAAAAGTTACGATCGTTTAAAGTGAAACACCCAAAACGCTGAGAACTTTCCGGACAACCTAATACTGCATAGCTTTACAAGAGTTCACACTCCTCCACAATACATCAGCATTGATCCATGGAAACCTTCCAAATGCCCACACCAAACGAAACTGCCTCTGTTTTTCCACCGCTTGTGATAACCACTTTTTTGATGGTCACAAAAATGCGTGAAAATGGAACCACTAGACTTCAAATGGCGTCACCCTCTACGCGAAACTTGTCACATGTTTTTATCATTCAGTAAGTTCACATATGAAAGAAGAATACTCGACGCTGCTGGGCTTGGAGGGGCACTTTGCACTTTTGCCTGTTCCCTTAGTTGGCGCATGTTAAATATCTACCAAATAATGCTAAGCCCTGTAATGTCATGTAAAGCTGCGAAATGGTGCGAGTGATGCGCATTGGTCGTAGGAATTACAGGGCTCCACAAGGTGGTCTGTGCAAGCTTAGCTGAAAGCCATTCCATGCCCTCTCCAAGCTGAACTGCGCCAAATCTCTCTACAATATAAAGACTCCACTTCCTTAATGTCTTCTATTCGAGCACTTTCTAATCCGCGATGAACCGGTGGACGAAGACTGAACTCCTGTCGCCTTTATTGGGACTTATAAGAAGGCTTTTGCATTAATGACGAAGAAACAGCAGGCATGGGTCCCAGCCTACTTCCTACCCATCCAGCCATCGCGGAATGGTTCTTCAAACTGGCAGTCTCTTTTATGTGACTGGGCCGCATATATCGCGGATAAATCCATTGGAAGAGCAAAAAAAATTTCTCTTAATGGTACCAGGGCGTAGCCAATGATAAATGAAAATAAGTGTACTGACCGAAACAGATGTTCCTCTCAAATACGCCGTCCATGGTAAGCCTTCGGAATATGGCTCCTCGATTCGCTAGGCGTCCGATTGGCAGCAAGTCATCGGACCATCGTTTCAACGACATGAAGTTCTTCTTTTGCCTGGTCGGTAAAGGACCAGATCGGTCAACTTCCTGGGTTTTCTGAAGCAGTGTTGGTTGAATCAGGAAGTACTCTGAAACAACATGAAGTCGAATGCTCACCTTGATGTATTCAGACAAGTCGTTGAAAGCGGAAAGGAGAGGGCCCTGAAAACGTAACGAGTGAAAGCGGGCATTGTAAGGAACTATTGTATCTTTGTATTCAAAACTAGATCCGGCTTTTTCTTCCTCACAGTCCCAGTCTAAGTTATAGCGCTTTCTAAACATTGCAAGCTCTGACTGACGATTTCCTTGCCACAGTTAGATCGCAGTAAGGATTACTTTGAAGTTATAACTCTCTCGATGGGTCGGAACCGAGTGAAAGATGAATGATAGCGAGCAATCGCAGATCCCTCAGTACCTGCACAGGCAGGATAAGCGCGCGGTGAGCACCATTCAAGTTTTCCGGTACATGCAATCAATATAAGTGAGATGGAGTTCCAAGTCCGTGGAAGGCTGAAGGTCAGGAACATGACCACGCATATCTCGGGGCGCAGTTCGGCAGGTGGGGAAACAGGGGAGTGTGGGGGGGGGGCATTTTGCACCTCGCTACTTCCATTGTCGTGTCGATGCACCATTGTCCAAGTTAGTTCTGTTTTATCTTGTGAAGCCATGAAGTGATACAAGTCGAAGTGAAGAAAATACTTGCCAACTCTCGGAAATAATACCCGTCAACTCTTGTCAAGCAATGAGCACGAGGATGAGAAGTAACAAATACGCAAAATGCCCCTCCCCCACCTCCTCAAAGCCGAACTTGGAGCATTGTCGGCATTGCAAATGTTGTCACATTTGCGCCGGAAGCGAACTGATCTATGCAGTTATCACAGAATGCTCTTCGCGCGCCGTCCCGATGTGGGCGTTGCTTCCCACATTCTGTAGTATTCCGCGTTAATTTCGCGTCATCT